ATTATTATAGCAATACGTCATCAAATACAAACATAATGTAGTGTTTATTGTATACATTTTGAATGTTACTGTATTTTCCTATTTCTGTGAGTTTATATTACAGAAGATCGTAGTTCAAACATGTTTGAAAGTGTTTTAAATCTTTTTAAAAATTGAACGTTTGTCAAAGGGAGAGAGGTCTAGAGAGAGCATGGACACTACAAGTATGTATTGGGGCACCCATCCTGTGATCTGAGCTGTCAGTAAGGATAACTGGAGCGTTTTGCCCTTTTTATAGGTAATAGGGATTTTCTTCAGACAGGTAAGCATAAATGTTTAAAAGATCACATAGGACAATCAGGACAAAGTTTCCGTGCAATATTTCGACGACTTGTACGATATAAACTCTTTTACCTTCATCAAACAAATGACCGGTTAATTGCACGTGCACTTAGGTGTGAAATATGAATAAGTTGGTGATACAATCGCCGCCGATTCGGTTACGCTTTAATTGTATATACACTTAAGGTTTAAACATATCTTTCATTATTGATATGAATTTTACTTGATAATCTATCATAGTGTACAGTTGGTATTGACCCTGCATAAAGGAGCAGAACCTATGTAACCATATAACCTCGAGCATTGTCAGATCAGAATTTAATTGATTGGCTGTTTTTGCTACATATTTCACGGCGTAGACTGCTGTATGTAAAAATGATATTACTGACCTTTTGTTATGACTGATATATTTGAGTCGATTGTTTGTTTGTTCAGGATTTAACGTCCTTGAAACATCAAAGGCCATACGGAGGTTAATGTAAAAAAGGCACCACCATGAAATGAGAGTAGGTAGGGAAGAAAAGAAAAGAGTGTTGCAATTGGGTAGATGATTAATTTTAATGTCTTCAATACCCCCACAGCAGAAGGTACAATGATGGATTTAATATCCCTACAGCAGCAGGGACAATGATGTCTTACAGCAGAAGGGATAATGATGGCTTTACTATCCCTACAGCAGAAGGTACAATGATGGATTTAATATCCCTACAGCAGAAGGTACAATGAAGTCGTTAATACCCCCACAGCAGAAGGCACAATGATTTCCTCAATACCCCCACAGAAGATTGTACAATGATTTCGTCAATACCCCCACATCAGAAGGTACAATGATTTCCTCAATCCCCCCACAGAAGATTGTACAATGATGTCGTCAATACCCTCACAGCAGAAGGTACAATGAAGTCGTTAATACCCCCACAGCAGAGGGTACAATGATTTCCTCAATACCCCCACAAAAGATGGTACAATGATGTCGTCAATACCCTCACAGCAGAAGGTACAATGATGTCGGTAATACCCCCACAGCAGAAGGTACAATGAAGTCGTTAATACCCCCACAGCAGAAGGTACAATGATGTCGTCAATACCCCCACATCAGAAGGTACAATGATTTCCTCAATACCCCCACAGCAGAAGGTACAATGATGTCGTTAATACCCCCACAGCAGAGGGAGCAATGATTTCTACAGTGCCCCCCCAACAATAGGTAAAATGATGTTATCAATACCCTCACAGCAGAAGGTACAATTAAGTCGTTAATACCCCCACAGCAGAGGGTACAATGATGTCGTCAATTCCCCCACAGCAGAAGGTACAATGATGTCGTCAATACCCCCACAGCAGAGGGTACAATGATTTCTACAGTGCCCCCACAACAATAGGTAAAATGATGTCGTCAATACCCTCACAGCAGAAGGTACAATGATGTCGTCAATACCCCCACATCAGAGGGTACAATGATTTCTACAGTGCCCGCAACAACAATAGGTAAAATGATGTCTTCAATACCCTCACAGCAGAAGGTACAATGATTTCTTCAATACCCCCACAGCAGAAGGTACAATGATGTCTTCAATACCCCCACAGCAGAAGGTACAATGATGTCCTCAATACCCCTACAACAGACGGTACAATGATGCCGTCATTACCCCCACAGCAGAGGGTACAATGATTTCTACAATGCCCCCACAACAGAAGGTAAAATGACGTCGTCAATACCCCCACAACAGAGAGTACAATGATGTCGTCAATACCCCCACAGCAGAAGGTACAATGATGTCTTCAATCCCCCCACATCAGAGGGTACAATAATGCCGTCAATACCCCCACATCAAAAGGTACAATGACGTCGTCAATACCCCCACATCAGAGGGTACAATGATTTCTACAATGCCCCCACAACAGAAGGTAAAATGATGTCTTCAATACCCTCACAGCAGAAGGTACAATGACGTCGTCAATACCTCCACAGCAGAAGGTACAATGATGTCTTCAATACCCCCACATCAGAGGGTACAATGATGTCGTCAATATACCCACAGCAGAAGGTACAACGATGTCTTCAATACTCCCACATCAGAGGGTACAATGATGCCGTCAATACCCCCACATCAAAAGGTACAATGACGTCGTCAATACCCCCACATCAGAAGGTACAATGATTTCTTCAATACCCTCACAGCAGAAGGAACAATTATGTCGTCAATACCCCACAGCAGAAGGTACAACGATGTCTTCAAAACCCCCACAGCAGAAAGTACAATGATGTCTTCAATATCCCTACAGCAGAAAGTACAATGATGTCGTCAATACCCCTACAGCAGAAGGTACAATGATGTCTTCAATACCCCCACAGCAGAAAGTACAATGATGTCTTCAATATCCCTACAGCAAAAAGTACAACGATGTCTTCAATACCCCCACAGCAGAAGGTACAATGATGTCTTCAATACCCTCACAATAGAAGGTACAATGCTGTCTTCACTACCCCCACAGCAGAAGGTACAACGATGTCTTCAATACCCCAACAGCAGAAGGTACAATGATGTCTTCAATACCCTCACAATAGAAGGTACAATGATGTCTTCAATACCCCTACAGCAGAAGGTACAAACGAAATCAATTCTTTATGTGATCTCACATAAATCGGCTCTAAAGATTACACGCGATGGGATATAGCAGACTTACTCCGTCAAGGAACCTGCAGGGTGTAGATAAACACTCTTACGTGGTATGTAAAACGGTTAAGCCACAACCAAAGGCCATTCAGTATTTTTATATTAAAATGTAATGAATATAAATCATCATATAATCCTTGATGTATAAAAGTTCGTCTTTAGAATTGCAAAATATGACAGTTCCACATGTATGATGCTGCATTATTCAGCCGCTATGAGTTTGTTTGCTGATACAGTAATGTGTGTTTAATTTATGTACCAAATTCACACGATTATGGTAATTTCTAACCATCATCTGAGAAATGTATTTGCATAATGAAAACGAATATGTAAATCTCCGCTTTGCGCGTATTTCTGCATGACTCGGGAATATCTACCATCCTTTTTAGATAAGAGGGCATTGCATTATTGTATTATAACTTTAATATACATTTCAATCATACTCTATGCAGTAAAGATGGGTCTAAAAGCTTTTACATATAAAAAAACAAAACCGTATCAACCGAGCCCGAAGGCCGAGTTATACTGCTTCATAAAAAATGTACTGATCGAAGCAAAGTGATATAACTTATTTTTGCAGAAAAGATTACAATAGACGATCCATTTTACTGGAGTTTCAACACACAAGGTCATTACTCTGCAAAACATGGATATGGAAAAAAAAATCAATGTAAGTAACGATTTTACCAGCTACGATAAAACAAGCGGCCTTTGCCGCTTATAATCTGACAAATAACGTTCAAGGTGCTATTACTGTTAATTATAAGCAATATCGCCCAATTCGGTCCTTATTTAACATTCGGCAACTTAATAAACTGACTGCGCTGCAAGAGTAACGGTAGACAAAGTATAGTGGGGATTCGACTCTTAAAGAGTTATCAGATGTTTCACTTCAGCTTTCTTGAGGACCTCGCCAGAAGTCTGATTTGTTTTGTGTGATTGGCTAAAATTAAGGAAGGACATTATATACCGCTTTCTGCTATTTCTCCTGTGAGTTTTATAAAAACCAAAACACTGATGACAATATAGTATAAAACGGAATAATACTTGATTACACGGAAGCATAATCAACACTCGAGATGAAATGGAACATGTAATTTATATCTCGATTAAGGTTCTCAACGAGAACTAAAGCTGTAAAACCCTCTAAAATGGGTATCAGTTGATAGCATCCAGAACGCAAACAACAACAACAACAACAACAACAACAACAACAACAAAAACAGCAACAAATCATTGTCCGGAGACTAGAATCTATATATTCATGTTATAAGTTGTTAGATGATATAAATCATCAATCAAACAAGTCCAATTGAACTCGGAACATTCATAAAAGCTGATAATCGGAGAGTTAATCTCGTTTTCACTTACATTTTTACATCAATGTGGTGGCACAGTTCAAACACACCCGACATTCGGTGCATTTACGAAGAACATTAAACACTTCATCATTTATCACCCTTCCGAAATCAAAGTACCATATACTATTCATTAAAAGGGCTACTTTATCGAATAAGTGTAGCGATACAATGACATGAAAGGTTTTTCATGAAGATATCATTGAATCATTTAAATATTCCACGGTAGGGAGGAATAATGAAAACATTAAAATATATTTAGATATAGTTCATTATATGATTCAGATAAGTTGTTGTTGAGTACATGTTCATGATAAAGTTCTTCACACGCACTTTCAGATGACCTTACATGCTCAATGTCTTGATAAATTGTTTAAAATCCTATCTTAACTTTTTCAAATATGAAAGCCAAACGACGCTCACCAATATTTGGCCATCACAAGAACACTAATGATGATAATGGCGCTTCGGAGTTCAAAGAATGAAGGTCTATCATGACGGAAATCGAAATAAAGGATTTGATGTACTGCATTTAGATTACAAAAATGCAGCATTGTTTTTGCTCTTTGTTACATTAGCCCAGCATCCTACAAATCCAACACATTATTGTTTCCTACATGCTGTATTTGATGGTAATTTCGTTTCAGCATGTTGCTGATTTCGCTTCTTCGCGCACTGACTTCAAATGTCGCATTCTGGCGCTGTTGTGGGTATAATAACCAGCGAAATTGGCAGCAATGATAGCGATAGGCAATGCAAGTAATACTATCCCACAAACGGCACAAAATGCCCCCACGATGTACCCCATAGTTGTAGTAGGGTAGATGTCTCCATATCCTATTGTTGTCAAGGTAATGATGACCCACCACATCGCAATGAAGAGGTTGTCATAGGTACCGTCATAAAAGATCTCTGCGTAGAATATAGCACAGGCGAAGATGACGGTAGTAATGCTAAAGGAAATATATAAGAGGAACAACTCCTTCAGACTTGCTCTGATAGCATGTAGCAAAACACGAAAAGCGCGAAAATGTCGTTCTAGTCGTAGAATTAAAACCACCCTTAAAACAGTAAAGAATCGAACAACCATGAAAATTATGGCAGTACTTTGTGACTCAATCATTTTTCCTTTGTGAAATTCAAATATAAAAGTCACCCACATGCTCACAATCAGCAGTATGGTGATGACCCGCATAGGGCTGCGTATGATCTCCTGTCGACATGGACATACTATGAGATACAGAACAAATTCTAGAGTAAATATGACCATACAAATATATTCAACGACAAACAGTCCTGGGTCCATATCCTTCATGTAGTAAATTCGGAGTTTCTCGGATGGAATGGTATAGTTGACATATGCCGGTTGTAGGGTTGAGAAGTAGAGTTCAGATCTATGATCAGGCAAGGACGCTAAGAAGAAAACCAGCGTACTCACGATCACGACCGCCGTATAGATTATGTTCCAAATCTGAAATATATTCAAGTTTAAACAAAGTTTAATGTGTCAAACAAAAGATTTGCCTATGTTAAAAAACTTTGATAATGCTGTATTGCCATAAATCGATAAATGAGACAAACCGCAGTCATAAGATTTAGGAAAGGACACAAATGATACAAAGGGTACAACAAGAATAATCAGAATGATTAACATCAATGCGATCAAATATGTACGTATGAAACCACTGAAGGGAGAAAGTAAACATGATTTACGGAGGCCATCTGTGATAGTGTAGCGTACTAATCCAACTGGCTAATCTCTGGCCCACTTTATTGCTGAATGAAAGTATTATGCATTAAAATGCAATCTGCCATTCTTGTAAGGAACATACCTACTAGTGGTTCAATAATTTATTGTTTACCTAAGCCAGTCATACACATCACCATGAGTTACCGCTAATATATTAATTAGCACATGCATGTTTCAAAACGTATTTCTTGTTAACGGTCGTATTCATTTACCATTTGTCTACTTGGTATTATTTAAACTTCATTGATACTAAACGAGTCATCTAAAGTAGATCTATTGTGAAATTGCATGATCATCAGAAAAAAGAGCAAATGCCTTATTACATAAAAAAACCCCAAAAAACCCCCAACATATATAACACTGCATGATTCTGTATGTAGTAATAATTCAACAACTTACCATCGCTGCTTTTGATATATTTGGGTTGTCAAGGGCAACCCATGTCTTGTATCTGATGCCATCATAACTGACGTTTTCTTCCTTTGACGAAGGTACAATTTCATCACCAGTTGTCCTCAGAACGTCATTTATGTCCGCTGTCTCATCAACCTCATAGTATTGCTTCCAGCAACACTCAGAAATGTAAGACACGGGGATTTTCCAAAATTCTAATTCTTTACGAAATACTGAACCGCAGATATTCTTTGGTACATGAAGTGCGTGCATGATGTAGAAGTTAAGAACTGAGTTGAATACTCCAGGGTCCCTTTCGAAGAAATACTCACCACGACCCTCATCCCAATATTCGGAGTTAGAGTCAAGAGAGGCGAGCAATGTGTTTGGAAAGGAACACAGAGTACAGCGTTTTGTTTCAAACAGAACACCTCTTAAGTTAAATTTGACTTTGTCTTTTGTGTTAGCGTCCGTTGCCATGCTTGAAGTCTATATTACCTACGCCAATGCACGTCACATACACACAGTTGTCGGCAGCTTAGCTAGTCATACTACCATCATATTACGAATTGAACAAATTGCTATGTTGTTTTCGGGGTTCCTGAAATTCCGTACATCTGCATAAACGCGGCAGTCTCTCGTTCCCCTCATTATAAGAGCAATCCATGTAAGATCGATAGACTGAGGTCATGTTCCTAAACTCAAAATGGTAAGTAGCAGTATTTGTAGAATATGAGATGATATTTGATAATCAACAGATAAATGTCAGATCTGAAACATTTCAGATAAACCTAACAAATCGATTCATATATAATCATATATATATATAACAGATACGATTGCCTGACGATAGGCGTTATTCTTCTTATCAATATTTATAGCACATGTATCGATTATATGATTAACATAAAATAAATTATTTCAACTGTAATACGTAAATGCCTTACCGACTTATTGCCGCCATACTTAATTCGTACTGGTATGTTTGTTTATATAGTCTGTTCAGCGCACCTGGTTATGGCCTGCTTTGTTTTGATCTTCTATAAATGCATTTCTGCAGCGATTCTATACTGGTAGCAAGTTATATTGCGACCTTTGATTTAATCAGAGGTAGTCACACCAGATGTCTTGAACATATCACATTGAGGTTAGTTGTTTCCTTGGGATGCCGGCGGGTTCAACTACTGAGCTAACCATCCCGGAGCTTAATAATTATAATTTTATTGATGCATTCCATAAAACTTGAAAGTGTAAATAATTTGATCAAAGTATTGCTATTACATAATATTCTTGCTTTTTAATGTCCCACCTAATCGCACGTGTGCAGCTTATACAACATAACATTAATATCTCCTGAATTTTGCAGTATTTGTACTTACCACCCAGTTTGCATTTATGTTTTAAATAAACAGTAACTTCAGTTTCTCTATTGCGTAAACATTGTAAACAAACATGATATCGTTCGGCAATCTACTCTCCAGCATATAGTTACACGTATATTTCTTTAGCTTCCATAAATTTACGTAGTCATGCATCGATCGACATGCATGTCCGATTGATAGAATAGTCTGTTCTCATTGGATGTTTTTATCTGTGGATTTTATTGGCAGTGTTCCGTTTCCACCAAGGACCCTTCACCTTGTGGGACTAAGCATATTCATGCATGTTAAAAGTATAGCTGACAATTACACGTACTGTTTATGTGTGTTCCTTGATTTACATATACTATGAATATTGCAGTTAGAGTAAAAGTAAATATACTGGCTGTACGAGTCATGCACTGAGGAAGTGTATGCCTTTTGTTTTGTAATAACACAGAAATATAGGATAGTGTATAAGTTTTCTCGCATGAATATTAACACATTATTTTAATAGGATAATAAAACGTCGGCATGTTTAACTAATGTTAAGTAAGATGTTAGCCAGACCGATGCTCGTTATTGTTGTCTGTATCTTTAGGTAGCCTATATATAACCATACACGAAGGTTCAGTAAAATGGACACCATTTGTTTTATCCGAGATAGCTCTCAAATATATCAAACTGAAAAAATGCTTTCCAGATGCTTTTAAAAGTTTCTAATAGTAATTGCATATTGCCATATCAGACAAAGAAAATCTAATAAGCTCTGCATGTGCACAATTGATGGAGACTACCAAACTTAATTGTAACGCTAATTATATAAAGTTTATTATTCAATTTCTGAAGAATGTTGAACCCTGTAATCTATCTAGCATTTTTAGTATGCACATGCTCTATTTATTACCAAATGTTAAAGGTGCATCACATGTGTGTGGGTAACGTTTATCTTACCAGAGACAAGGTGGTAGATTGCGTCGTCATAAACTCCCGTCGTTATTCTATAGACGTAATTGGAGAGAAATGATTTAAGTGTTCAAAATCGTAAAGGTAAAGGGAATCTATGATACAACAGCATCACAGGGATTTTTGTCAATAATTCACTCATTACGAATTGCTAGTAGGTGGGATTCCATATATGAGAATGTGATTCAAGCACCAAATCTAATAACTTCTGAAAACCGCATTAATAAACTTTGGGGGAGTGATAAAAGGAGATTCACAACAACATTGGAGTGACGTCACATACAAAAAATGTATTTATTGTGATTAAGTAAATATGGACTATAATCTGAATATAGAGGTTCAGAAAAAACTAAGTTAAGTAAACTGTGCTGGTTGATTGCTCAGTTATCTGTTGTAAGTATTGGCACGGTTCATAATATACAGATATTTTAACAAACGATTTAATTTGAAATTAACAAATATTCCTACATGTATATGATGCCGTGTTATTAATTTTTTGGCATACTGTATCTATTACAAATTTTAAAGGTGAAATTACATGTGTGTGTGTGTTAGGTTCATAAGAAAGTTACCACGACAGATTGGTAAAATGTATATCATGTCATCGTGATATCGACAGTGGATATTCACTTATTCATGAATAGTGTGTATATTTCTTTCTTTTGTTGTTGATGATTTCCTTGTGTATATAGCCCTTACCTTGAAGCGGTCGGCATGGTTGACTGAACCGGAAGTCTGTTATAAATATATATTGTATCTGAAAACGGATATGTCATTTACACAGTTAAAGATGTGGCACGTGTTACCATGGCCTTGCTGATAGGTATCTCAGGTTACATGTACAGATTATTCTTTTTAGTTCATATTTATCATAAATCATTCGGAATAATCATCCCAAGAAATGGGTAAAATGTATTACTCAACGAAAACAAAAACCCATTGAAAACATATTAAAATTTCAATATTTGTTTTAATCTGCAAAGGAATGCGTCAGACGATAATTAGAATGATATTTTTATTGAGTTTTGCACTACGTTATAGATCAGCTCAATACCAAACATGTTTGATGTGTAGCTGCTTTTGATGCACATCACATGGAACTAGATTAATGGGTTAAAACATGATGTAGACCAACAATAAGAGACTTCTTATAAAGCCTTCGCTTCCCAAACAAAAATGTCGAAAAGTGGTGATACGTCGAAAAAGTAAGTGTTCTTTTATCTAGAAAATGAGCTCTGGAACAGTTAGCTATTCAAGCAGTGGAAACGGAGAGCATTATAACTCCCAAATGTTCAGTGGAGTCTGCTTATACTGCACTGTGTCAAACTTGAGCGAGTTCAGGTATTTGAAATTGATCAGCATGATAGAAGCACTTTCGTCGTTGAATATTGACAAAACATATGAATAGTTGATTTGATAATTAATAGAAAAGCTGACAATGCTAATAACTTGAGCATGGACCCGATGACGCCAACCTGATGAACTCGGAGATGTTCGTGGCTTTTTGTATTATCAAGTAAGAATTATCTCGCCTCAGGCACGCTAACGCTACCTCGACTAATAATCTGGATAAAATATCGACGCTAGTTCTCTACCATTAGTCAAACTTAAAACTAAAAGCTATTTCAAAAGAACATATATTTCCGTTTGGACGGTTGAAGATACCTGAGATGAAATGACGCGGTTGTCGCTGTGACCTCGTGTTCAGCCGTGGATGCCAGTGTCTTCCGTACAGGGAATTGAAGAAATGATCGCAGTGTTTTGGATCGTTGCTTTCTTGATTTCTCAGGAGATGTCATGCCGTGCGCCACGTATATTATGTGTGCATGCATCGATTTCCAATTTTGCTCCTCCTATTTTTGCCTGAGTTTGTTATGTAAATAATTAAGATATCAATTGATTGCTACAAGTATGTATTGTGTAAGCAACGTATCGAACTTGTCAATCAATAATCAATCAACACAAACCATTACCTGTAATAGCCCGACATAAACCGGTCTAATTGACTATGATGCAGTAATGCAAACTGTAACATTCTGTTTCCTCGGGTGTTGTAGCTACATACACATAAAGCAGTGTGCACACATAAGGACTGAACGGTAGGTTTTTACATTTCATGCTAGTATGAACGCAGGACTGTTACACACATATTCCATAAAACACTCTACGGCTTCATGGTAAATATGTTTATAACCAGTTTGCGTTAATACCGGTATGAACATTGAAACAAATACCGTTCAATCTTTACATTTACATTCTAAATATTTAGGTATTATTTACTTAAATATGGACATTCCCTTATATTTTCGACACTGAAGTGTCGATGTCGTCAGCGCAATCAAGAATCCTCGAACAGAATAACGTCACCGAAATGCTTGATTCTAACGGCTGTCTCACGTAAATCGAAGCAGGAGGAGAAGCTTCTAAATGACGCTGATATAATTGCATTCATAGCTATATGAAAGCAGTTTCTCCTTGTAATGCGTATAGAGGAACTTGCTGTGGAAACGCACATGATATTGTGGAAGTGGTGTTAACCCAACACTACACAGTGCAGGTTTTGTGCTAAGGGTTTATTTGTGAATATTACTGCTTTTCTAACGCATATTTCTGAATCAAAATTTACCTGTCAACTAGATTCATGTTTAACAATCTACAGAGGCAGAATTGGACAGTTTAATATCTGTATACCTTATACGACTACAAACCAGAGGATCGATATGGGGAAATCAACAGTCACGCCTGATCAGTCATCAGGTAATAATTCCTTCATCATTCCTTCAGCCTTCCGTGTTCTTACTACGGGGTTCCAACTGCTACTGGCGTTGTTTGTACCGATATATTGTATCCTTTATACAATATTACTTTATTTTGTTTTAATTTAGCGTTTTGCTTTATTTTGCGCCGTTTTGCGACCAGGCTTCGGCCACGTGTTCGCGTTTGACGGTTTGTTTACTTTGAGATGGAGACTCCTCCTTCTCAAAGGCGCTGTCCTGGGGGTCATTTATTTGAGACTTCCGACCCACACCCTTACTGTCCTAGCCGTCGGTCTTGCTCTCTGGAGCAGCCCTGTGACATTTTCTGTGCCTGGCAGCTGACTCCTGCCGGTGGTTCTCCCCGCCCGTGAGGGCGTGCAGGTAAGTCAGGTAGGAGGGG